TTTTCAGGCACAAAAACTCGACATGATCACTGAACGATAAAACAAAGACGCTAGTTTTTGGCGGACTCAACTTGTGTGTGTTTGTAGTTTTAAATGTCAGACGAACAAAATGATGTATGTGTCAAATTAATATGCTGCGTACTTTTCGCTGGCGACATCTCTTAGTTAAACCGGAAAAAACTTATGCATACACCTGGTACATACATACGTGCATATATGCATACATATAAACTACATATACAAATATATAAAATATATGTACATTGTATAAACATGTATATTACAATGGAATCCGCCAATGTCCCCACGGTAATGTCTTCGTCGAGTCCGGTACGATGTATCGTTTGTCATCGTGCGGACTCAGAACGATTTTCGACGGACACTGTATATATTTGATGTAGCTTGGATCTTATACATGACTGGCGACGAGTCATTTCGATCTCTTCATTCAAGCACCGCGTGTAATCATCGAACATTATTGTTCGCGCTACGACGTTATTTTTTACATCTTTCGCCTTTTTAATGTCTTTTCTGCCGTCCACTCTCACCGCGTACATCTTCGCTCTGAGTCCGACGAATTCTGTCATTATCGCACCGTTATTCTCATCCTTCATTAAACCGGGTATTTTTTTATTCACGAGAGGCATCCCGTACGCGTTGTCCGGTGGATAATCGCTCGTATCGAATCTAGCGATATCACATTTCATCGTCTCGTACACATCATCACATTCGGTGTGATATACAAGACTGTCTGTGTCGGTGTACATGATCTTACATTTCTCACGATACAGCAGTGACATGTATTCGTGGTGAAATTTGTACAAGCAGATTTTCGATATGTCAAGTACACATACCCACGTAAATGGGTTGTTGAATCGGCTTGTTGAATTTCACTTCGAGTTTATGCAGTTCGACGGCGATTAAGTTTTCCGCAAAGATGCAGCGGCTGTGGAAATTTGGTTTCGCGATCATTGCTTCCGCGTCATATCATCCATCCCATTTGGTCAAAAGTTTAATGTCGACGTGATTGCGCACATTTTCCATTGTTTTACCGAATATCGCGTTGTTCATTAATTTGTACAAATTTTTTTCGAAATTGTTTTTTGCGCACGTTCTAAAGTCTGTATTGAGTTCGATGTAACCGCGGAGCCAGGCGGATTGAGCAAATTGCAGTACGCGATGTATCTTTGCGATACGAAGATCATGGCACGTACATTGCTGCAGGTTGCGATAATGGATGACGTACCGTTTCTTATCATATAATGTCGCGAGAAGTTTATCCTGCCGCGTGCCAAGTGGTTTATCGCGCGTCGGACAAAAAGGTAGGTCAATGTGTCGATCGTGCAAATGATGCGGATACTCGAGATCGACCTCGAGAATATAACCTATAGGCGAATCCGGAGCGATCGCGCTTGCGTCAAAATTCTCAACGTCTTTAACCCATCGAAATTCGGCATAAGGCAGCGGTTGACACATCGCCCATCCGTACAGATTGTTCACGTCATAGTACATCAAATATGACGACGATTTCGATGGGTCGTACGAACGCATGTACTTGTTATTGGCCTGCGCGTATCTGCCGGAACATTGACTGAGACCGCCGCGTATACCACGTTCGATAAACATAACCATATCGATGTCGGTGAGCAACATTCGAAAAATCATGTATATGTGTATAATTGTAATATATATATATATATATATATATATATATATATAGTATAGTATA